TTTTGTGGTTTTGTGCCTATATGTTCAGGATAGTAATGTCTTCTTGGTTAACTGTTCCCTTAACTAGAATGAAGTGTCCCTCTTTATCCCTTCTTATTAGTTTTAGTTTGAAGTGTCAGAAATTAGAATAGTGGCACCAGGTCGCTCTAGGGTCCCATTTGATTGGAGGGCTTCTGTCCCTGCTTTGACTCTACAGCAGTGCAGTCTTTAAAGCTGAGATGTGTTTCTTATAGACAACATATAGACAGATTTTATTTCTTTATCCATTCAGTCAGCCTGTGTCTTTTGGTTGAAAATTGACGTCATTGATACTTACATTATTATTGGAATGTGTGTGCTAATTGTGGTCATGGTGTTGTTGATTTTTGGTGTGTTCTCAGTGGTATTTTTGTTTTAATAATTATGGTTTCATATCTCTTTCCATGTGCTCATTCCTCTCTTCACCCTGAAATAATGTTTCTTGTGTTTTCCTTAGGTTTGGTTTGTTGGATATGGTTTGTTTTTAGGTTGTTTATGAAATGGAAAGTCCTTCTCTTTAATTATGGCAGATAGTTTTGCTGGGAACATTAGTCTAGGTTGGCTGTCATAGTCTCTTATTTGATGGGTTTTCCTTTATATGTGACTTGCATTTTTTCTCTTTCTGCTTTTTCTTTTCACTTTCTTTATTATGTATACTTAGTGTTTTAACTATGATACACCACGGGGGCTTTCTTCTCTGGTCTTATCTACTTGATGTTCTGTGTGGGTCTTGTATTATATAGGTGAGTCTTTTCTTAGTTTGGGGAAGTGTTTTTTTCTATGTTGTTGAATATGCGGTCTATACATTGACTTTGGGTTCTTCTATATGCGGTCTATACATTGACTTGGGGTTCTTCTATATGCGGTCTATACCATTGACTGGGGTTCTTCTATATGCAGTCTGTACATTGACTTGGGGTTCTTCTATATGCGGTCTATACATTGACTTTGGGTTCTTCTATATGCGGTCTATACATTGACTTGGGGTTCTTCTATATGCGGTCTATACCATTGACTTGGGGTTCTTCTCCCTCATACATGCCTATGTATGGAAGGTTTGTTTTTTTCATGGTGTCCCATACTTCTTGTTTGTTCCTTTCCTGTGCTTTTTTTAAAAAATTATATTACTCACTTATTTGGTCTAGATTCGCTACTTTATCTTCAAGTCCTGGTAAAAGTCTTGTACTTGACTGATTTTATTTGCAAGCTGTCCTTTGAATTTTCCAGTTGAGTTACTGGTTTTTCCATTCCATCTTCATTTCAGATAGAGTCCTCTTAGTGTCTCCATCTCCTTCTTATATCCCATTTTCCGTTCCTAGATGGTCTTCATAATTTCCATCAGCCTATGTTTGTTTCCTGGGCATTGCTTAGGCATTTGTTCCCCTTAAGTTCTCTCTTCTTCACTTCGCTGAGCTGTCTCTTTATGTGTTCTTTAAACTCCTTGAATTATTTGAGGAAGCTTATGGTTGTTCTTTTTAAATTCTGAATCTTGGGGTTCATCTGGGTAATTCTTGTTGGCAAACATTTCTACGGAGATGGAAGACTTTAGAGAGAAGTCTCTGGCTTGACCATCCCTATTGTTGGTGGTTTTGAGATGAGATCTAGGCGTGTAGAAGTCTTTGTCAGCTCTGAGTCTGATGTGGACAGAGCAGTTTAGAACAGGAGAGGGTGTGTGAGTGCATTGGACCTAGAGGCTGGAAATGCCTTGGGTGGCATGAAGTCAGGTAGAAAGAGGGGACTGTGGTGGGATACAGTGTGGTCCAGGCCTGGGGTGTGGGGGATGGATCTGGCTGGATAGAATGGTTAGATATGGCGAGGGCCTGGGGGTTGGGGGATAGATAGGGAGGGTCCTGGCCGAAGCCTAGAGATCATTTGCAGTGCAAACAGTTGAGACCAGATGAGGTCAGGGCCCTGTGTGTGGATCCCAAGATAGACCTTGCTAGTTGGAGAAGACATGGATGGGGATGTCAGGATGGCTCACCAGGCTACACCCTGGAGGAGGAGGTGGGAAATCAGGTTGGGTAAAATAAGAAAACAGATATCAAACAAAAGTATGTTCAACAACAGGGTGTTACATAGCTCCAAAGGACCTTCCCACATACACATATAAACAGAAAGAATAACTCCCACAGAGCAGCCTGTCAGGCACCACCTTAATCAGGGGACCAAAGTCAACATGGTCCCTAACAGGACAATTCAAGGTGATGTTCTCTCTTCTAAGCTCATCAGGAACATGGATCCTGTAATGTTCCCATGAAAATTGCACAACTTGAATTTAACCATGATGGAATAGCTGACAGACTGAGGGATATTCAATAGAGCTGGCTTGAAGTAGTAAAAATCTTAAATGGTGAAGGAAGTGAAGGAAGGATAAGGGGCTGGTCCAGGCTGTAGAGAATGCATGCAACACAAGCATCTCAGCTTGGTCCATTTGTGTCATGGGTCAATAGAGAAGGGAACGTGAAACCCAGATAGTGTATGGGGATGGGTGTTACCCATGTACCTTGAAGTCCCAATTTTATGGGTATACTATGTTGACAAGACATTTGCAGTAAGTTTTGGGCAGTGGAGAAAATATTGTAGATGGAACTTTCTGTTTTGCCTGGCCTCATAGATGTTTAGTCCCAAATAAACACACAGATGCTTATATTAATTATAAACTGTTTGGCTGATGGCTCAGACTTCTTATTGGCTAGCTTTCTCTTAATTATTAACCCATTTCTATTAAGCTATGTATTTCCACATATTCTTGGCTTACTGGAGGATGCTCAGGCATCCTATCTTCCTGGTAGCTACATGGTGTGTCACCGGACTCTCTCTCTCTGTCTTCCTCTTTCCAGCATTCCTCGTGGTCTGGTAACCCCACCTTTACTTCCCACCTGGCTACTGAGCAATCAGCATTTATTCATCAACCAAGGAGAGAAACATATTCACAACATACTGAAGATCATTCCCCTATCAGAGTATCATTTCAGCAACTCACCTAAAATGATTATGGGGTTATTTGTACCAAAATTGCAACATTTCTTTCACTTGGAGATTATTTTAAAGTAATGGCGTAGTTCTTAGAATTTTAGATAGACTACCTGCTTTTGCTCATGTCTGATTTAATGTTCCAGTGGTTTGGAGAGAGCCATTTTAAGAAAAAATAAAATTAAATGAATTCTTACTTTCGTCTCCCAAGTGCAAAAGCAGTGTAGTATACAATGCTCTGCCCTTTTCTTGCTAAACAATACCTTCTAGAGAGCACTCCACATGGGCCATAAGGAGCACGTCTTGATGCTCCTCTTGGCTGCGGTGCTCCCTTCACCGAAGCTCATTTAAGTGTCAGCAGCTTCCTGTTTCTCAAGCCACAGTAAATAACCAAGCAGTTGTCATCTTATGTTTATACACTGTTCGGTTAGAATAAATCCCTAGCAGTGAGACTATTAGACCAAAGACAAACGACTCCTTTATTGATAGCATTGCCATACCGCTCTGCATTCCCACCCAACTGTGTCTCCCCTACTATCTCACAGATAGAATGGGTCTTGGAATTTTTTTTGCCAGCCTGACAAATAATTTGCATTTATTTTACTGTGAAGGTGAAAAATGTTAAGCTCCCAAGATGTTGTAAGTCTTCCTGCTGCAGGTGGGTCTGATACGCACTAAGCTTAGGAACTGCTGGTTGGTTGTGATGGCTAATTTCAGGGTTAGCATGGTGTACAAACACCTGGGAGGTGAAATCTGGGTGTTAGCATGGTGTACAAACACCTGGGAGGTGAAATCTGGGTGTTAGCATGGTGTACAAACACCTGGGAGGTGAAATCTGGGTGTTAGCATGGTGTACAAACACCTGGGAGGTGAAATCTGGGTGTTAGCATGGTGTCTGGGTGTTAGCATGGTGTACAAACACCTGGGAGGTGAAATCTGGGTGTTAGCATGGTCTGCAAACGCCTGGGAGGTGATGTCTGGGTGTTAGCATGGTGTACAAACACCTGGGAGGTGAAATCTGGGTGTTAGCATGGTGTACAAACACCTGGGAGGTGAAATCTGGGTGTTAGCATGGTCTGCAAACGCCTGGGAGGTGATGTCTGGGTGTTAGCATGGTGTACAAACACCTGGGAGGTGAAATCTGGGTGTTAGCATGGTGTACAAACACCTGGGAGGTGAAATCTGGGTGTTAGCATGGTGTACAAACACCTGGGAGGTGAAATCTGGGTGTTAGCATGGTGTACAAACACCTGGGAGGTGAAATCTGGGTGTTAGCATGGTCTGCAAACGCCTGGGAGATGATGTCTGGGTATGCTTTTGGAGTATTATCTCAGCTAGATTAATTGAAGTTTAGAGATACCATTCCCTAGGCTCAGGCTGAGCAAAAGGGAGAAACTGAGGTGAGCATAAGCATTCAGTGCTCTCTGCTTCCTACTTGGGAATTTAACCTCGCCAGCTGCTTTAAGCTCCTGCTGCCTTGTTTTCCCCTCCATGATGCACTGTATGCCTTCTGCCTTGAATTGATTTTCGTCAGGGTATTATATTATGGCAACAAGGGGAAAACAAATAAATATTGTTAGTGCTTATTGCTTTTTATTGACATTTAGAACAAGACTCTAGCCAATTAAAGTATCCTTTTCCAATGAAACTCTCAGCCTCGGTCCAAAGTTGGCCTTAGGGCAATTGCCAAATACCAATATGTACAATGTTTATCTAAGATATCAGCTCTATCTGCTTAAGTGACATTTCCCACTGAGTTTTTGAGCCCTGGGAAATAAAGCACTAGACCTCATTCATCCTTAGATTCTTCTGTTCAAGCCTCATTTCTCGTATATAATAGATACTCAGTGTGTTCAAATAACTGGAGTGATTACTAGCTAACACCAGTGCTAAACTCATATGCAAATCAAATATTTCCTAGCTCTTTAAAACGCATGCAGCAATAAGGAGATGACTTTTCTTTCCTGGCATTCTAGAACTCTGTTAGGATTCTGGTCTCAGGGGGAGTTCCTGACACCTCTCCCAAGTCAATGGTGGGAGAAGCCTGGATCCCTTCACAGACATTCTCCAGGGCTGCTCATAAAGATGGCCCTGCAGTCCGAACCACACTTCCAGGACAGAAATCACTCTACAGCTCTTCTTCATCTCTCCTAGGCTAGGGAGATACACTTCTGGTAACTTACTCCATCTTTTTTTCATTCTATCCTGTTAGAGGCTTTGGGGCTGCTATCACACATTTATTCCCTGCTAACACAGATTTACCCTGGGGCAGAGGACCATCCTTATCCCGATTCCTGTCTCCTCAGTAGTCCACGTTTCTTGAGCAGCCACTGGAGGTACTGCTCTCCATTTCCAGGGTCTGGGGAACAGCTCGATAAGGTTATGGTATCTGGCAACTGGAGCGTGACTCCAGAAAACAAACGCAAAGGCAACTCTTGGCTCTCTCCCTAACATAACCAATTCATATAAATCCATATTCCATTTCCTATGGCAAATTCCTCACGTGTTTCTTAGCCTGGAAGATCACTTGAACTTACTGCTCCCTAGTGAAAGACCTTGACATCCTCTCCCAGACCACTGCCCTGTGGAATGTCTTACCAGGCGACTCAGCTTTCAACCTCCATCTGAAGATCTCACTGATGAGAACTGCTTTTGAAAGAGCAGTCTCTGCCTATGGTTGATCTACCTGCCCCTGACATGTTTTATTTGTTTCATTTTGGTCTTAAATGGAACCTCCTCCTGTTAATGGAATAAATGCTGCCTAATTTTCTTTCTCCTGCCCAGCATACACTAATCATTGCTGAATTCTGAGTTAGTTGAATTTCTCCTAGTCAGTGCTACATTTCTGTGAGATTCTGAAAAGCCTGGGTGGGAGCTTATCACATTTCTGAAACAAACAATAAAACCTAAGTGGATGCTGGGATGCCAAATAGAGGTGGAGTTTTGCATCGCAAGCTCATGTCCAGACTGATAAGCAATGTCTCCGTCATTTTGTGGTGTCAGAACAAGACATCTGTGTAGCCCGGGGAAAGCAGAAATCCATCTCTCATAGTTCTTAGAATCCCAAAGACCAATCACGAAGAGGATTGGCAGGACCCCTCATCCAAGTAGGCATCAGCTGGTTTGGGGACGCTAAGGGTATACAAAGAAAGAGGCATTAGCTGCCCAGTGCAGTACAAAGAGCGCTCATCACTTCAATTTAGCATTCACCAAAGGAGCTAAACACACAGCAGCATGGATGGGACAGTGCCTTCCATAACCCATAGGCAGTCACCATGAACCATCCAGCCTCCTCATATTGAAGCTACCACAGACTTCTGAGCGTCTCCCCACCCTTGGTGGTCTTAGAAGGGCTAGCTTTAATGACTTGGCCCAGGTCAAGCCCAAAGACTGCACTGCAGCCTGCTGTGCCTGGCACTAGAACTGGCTTCCCAGTTCTGAGAGGTTCTGGCCCAGCTCTGTGGCCCATGTCTTTTCACAGTCCTACCTGACTGCTGAAAAGGCCCCATAAGTCTATGTACTCCGGGGCAGGGGTGCCCAACCCCAGGTCAAGGTTAGTCTTTCTGTTCTACCTGTGTACTTTGTCGTGGATGTCTTCTGTGAATCGCTGTCCTGGCTTTGCAGGTTTCAAGCTTCTGGTAGCTCGCTTGCCCAGCATTTTGCTTTCTGTTGACTTCTCTGTGGGAACTCCAGCTTGACACAAATCTTGTCGCATTTGCCTCAAGTGGCCTAGACAGATCTCTCTCTCTCTGTTCTTCTCTCCTCCTACCTTTGTTTTTTGAGGGGGGATTTTTGTTGTTGTTGGGTGTTTTTTTTATGCTCTATCATCTCTTCTCTCTCTCTCTCTCTCTCTCTCTCGCTCTCTCTCTTTCCCTCTTTCTCTCTGTATGTGTGTGTGTGTGTGTTCACATGCAATGGCACATGCTTTGGAGGTCAGAGAAAGACTTGTGGGGGTCCTTTCTCTGTTTCTACTGTGTGGGTTTCCAGGAATGAACTCAGGCCATCAGGGTTAGCAACAAATTCCTTTATCTACTGAGCCATCTCATGTCCTTTTAGTTACTTTTGTACTTGCTGAAAAAAAACTGTGCCCTTTGAAAGGGAAGACTGTCATGTTTTCACATGTCAGAAGACTTCAGGAGGCATTCCCAGCCCACCAGCCCTGCTTACAGGAATACTAATCCCCTTCCACAGGACACACCTCCCGTCACTGCTGCATGGAGGTTTAAGTTTCCAGCTCATGAATTTGGAGGGATAATATTTGCACAGTAGCAAGTGCTTAATTTCCTTATGAGACAACATAAGAGATGCCTTTACCATCCCCATGTCTAACTACACTCTACTTGTGTTTGTTTATATATTCTTTGGAGGATGGAAACTTTCCCTTTTCTCTCTAGACCTTACCAAACTCCCCTTCAAAACACCTCAGCACTTGGGAGGCAGAGGTAGGCAGATCTGCAGAACAAGTTCCAGAACAGCCAGGGCTACACAGAGAAACCCTGTCTCAAAAAAAAAACAAAAACAAAAACAAAAACAAAACAACAGAAAACAAAAAAACCAAACCCAAACAAACAAAAAAATCTTAATGGCAACGTTGGCATTTATTAGTGTTATGTTGTAGCCAGGGAGATGCAACACACATGTCTACTCACCCTAGACTGGAAGCACACAACAGACCAAAGTACAGATACCACCAAAGTCCAACTTAGTGAGCCAGTGAGTTTTATTTACAAGAATAGGCATGAGGGAATACTGACAGGAGCAAATATGATTCAAAAACAGCTGCATCACCATAGCCCACCTCAGCACAGTTGACCCCCCACAAAAGTTGAAAACCTGGAACACACTGCACACAGCCTGCAGGCAGTTGAACAGTATGGAGAGTGTCCTTGCCAAATGACTCAGCTGGTCTAAACCTCTTCCTGGTCTGAGAGAGACTGAGCAGTCATTATCTCTGGTTGGGAGAGACCTAGTGAATCTGGTCAGTTTCAGGGACTTCCTGAAATTTGAGTTATTTACCTTCTGGCTCATGCAGCTTCCCCAGGACATTCAATCACAGAGGAAACGGCTACACAACAATTAGCACACCTCCTCTCAAAAGGCTTCCAATCTCTCCTCATTGGCCAAGTCTGAAGCCATTCATTAATTTTAGGTGTTTGTCTAAGTGGCTTTCTGGTACCAATGTTCTTTCTCAGCTCATCTGAGGTGCTGTAACAAATTACTACCAATTAGGTGTCTTTGTTTGGTCTTTTTGTTGTTGTTGTTCTATTTTTTTCAAGACAGGGTTTCTCTGTGTAGTCCTTGCTGTCCTGGAACTTGCTTTGTAGACCAGGCTGGCCTGAAACTCACTGGAGTTCCGACTGCCTCCACCTCCCAAGTGCTGGGACTAAAAGTGTGCGCCCCCTGCCCCCAGGCTCCAAGCCAACTTATAAAAGAGCATTTCACTGGGCTGACAGTTTCAGAGGTTAGAGTCCATGGTGGTGAGGCAAAGGCACAGGGCAACAACAGCTGAGAGCTCACATCTTGTTCCACAAGCAGAAGACAGAGAAAACCACATTGGCAAGGGCAAGAGTCTTTTGAGCCGTCAAAGCCAGTGACACACCTCCTTCAACAAGGACATGCTTGTAATCCTTCCCAAACAATTCCAGCAACTGGGGACCAAGATTCAAACTTAAACTCTGTGTAGGTCATTCTCATCCTATTTTGTGTCTGTGCAGGTGCTTTTCAGCCCCTACACACTGTCTGTCTTGGTAACACATGCAGGGCTTTCCATAACTACGACCATGGCATAACCCAGGTGTGTGACCACCATTTCTGCTGAATATATAGTCAAAACAATGTTAACAGGTTCCCCTAACCTATACCTACCAATGATGTAATTGTGGGGTTTGCCTTTAAAAATACTCTATCCCCGAGCTTGGGTGCTAAGAGTTCATTGAGGGCAAGAGCCTGCTCTCGGTTGCTGGCGAATAAAGGCCTCTAATTTGGTCTTATGTGTGTGGTAGTCTGTGTAATTTTACCTGATCCAAGCCACCACACCCGGTGACTTTAGAAACCAGGGAAGAGATTTGTCTGTTAAAGTTCTGCATGCTCAAAATTCAGGATCTGTGCATTGTCAAGTTAGTGTCCGGTTGAGCGCATTTCCTGGGTCAGAAGTGATCATTGCATGACATCCTCAAATAGGACACCAAGATCTGCTTGTTCTTGTTCTGTTTTGTCATAAGTACTAATCTCATTCATGAGGGCCCAACCCTCATGACCTATTTACCTCCCAAGACCCATATCCTAAGGAGTTAGGACTTCCAGATTTGAATGTTCATGTGGGGACACAGACATCCAGTCCAGAGCACTATCGAGTGTTTCAGAAGGGTCCACTCGATAAAAGCCTTCTGCACTTGAAAATATCTACTGTTAGTTAAGGAAATGCATGCGCTTTTTGTGGGCTGCATTACTTCAAAGCAAATGCTTGCAAAAAAGCAACGTTTGATTTACACATTTTAAAGTTACTGATGGGCCTTGATTGCATCTGAAGAAATATGAAAGAGAAAGAGGTGGCAGGTTCAACTGGAAAAAATATTAAATAAAGCTCAGTCACTCCCAAGGGGCATCTTCATGTCAGTTCAGACTATGTGGCTTGATTGATAGAAACCTGTTTATCATCCATCAAGTGCTATACGCAGATACTCACCCTTCTACACTCTGCAATAACAGTTTGGAGAATGCATAATTATTTCCGCAATTAAACCTAGCAAGCACTAAAAGTGGCTCACAAAGCAGCCACGTGGAAACTGGATTCTGAAGGATTTGGAAGATAAATACTCGATGGAGAAAAAGGCAAAGATAAAGATTGGGAGGAAAGAAAGGAGAAAGGCAATAGAAAGAAAGACCCCAGCAACCCAAGTGGAGGATAGATTTGAGTCTTAGAGAGAGACCGAGAGGAGGCTGGGTGTCCTGTTTGTCAGCGGCGCAGTCCTGGGACCTGTTAGTAGTTCTGTTTCCATTAAATCTCTAAGGTTCTTGAAACCCCAATTTTGAAGGTCCATGAGAATCAGTTAAATAAACACCAGCATCTTTTTTTTTTAAACTAAAAACCCATTTTAACATACTACTAAAGTGAGTAGTATTTGGTTCCTCTTTTTGCAGGGTCTATGTGGTTACTTCTTAATATTTTTTCTATTTTAAAAGTATCAGAGCCCCCACCCCTACCCCCAGAAACCCCCTGCCAGGCTTTGCCTGATAAATTCTTTTCTCTCCCTCTGAGCTCAGGGATCTAAAGAAATCTGACGATGCTAGATCTCCATTTGCTAATGTCCTGACCTAGATTGGGCCTATTTAATTTAATAAACAGGGAGAGTTGTAGCCTCGGGCTGTCAATGCATCTGAAGCTGCTACCCAGCCATGGTTTGTTTATAAAAGATGTTTTTGCCTGCAGTAACACAGACATCAGACATTGCTTTCTTCTTCTGAGTTTATAGAAATAGACTGAAACCTGGGAGAAAATTGTAGGCTCTTCAAAAATGCTCACAAAGCTATTACTTTTGTATCTTAACAGACTCAAAAAAAAAAAAAAACCCTGAATGTCTTCCTCAGATAAACTTTGGCAGTCCCTGTCCCCTTCAGATAACTAACTTAGAGGCAAAATACACCACCTGCAACACCTGGCCCTCAATAAATCATCCTTGATTCAGATCCATTTCCAAATCTCTTGGATTCCCTGAATCCTGACTGATTATATACAATGCACAACAGCAGTAGTAACTAACTATCAATGATTGG